ACTGCAGCTTTACATTAGTGAGAAATTAGTTAGAATGACACTAATCTTTCATATTGTTACTGCCATCTAAGGTAAGCTAACTTAAATAACACTAATGTTTTGAGGAAAAAAAGATATTTACGAAATGTCATTTTCATTCAAATTTATGGGGGAAAAAAAATGAATTGATAATTTATCCAAGCTCCAATCAATTTATTGTGATAAGGATTTTTGATCAAAAAAGGGAAAAATAACAGTAAATGCGAATGGTCACGAGAAATTAAAGAGCAATAATAACAAGAAGAAAATATAATAATAATTGAATAAGACGAGTCAAACATGGAGAAGAATGAAAGGTGGTGCTCCTCATCAACCAAAACCAAAATCCGTCGTCTTCGTCAATCGGCGAAAACAGAGAAATTAGCGAAAGAGAGAAGAAAAAAGAATGGAGAAAGCAAACCCTAGACGACCCTCGAACAGTGTTCTTCCTTACGAAACACCCAGATTGAGAGATCAGTATCTCCTCGGTAAGAAGCTTGGACAAGGCCAATTCGGAACAACCTATCTCTGCACGGAGAAATCAACCTCCGCTAATTACGCCTGCAAATCAATCCCTAAACGCAAGCTCGTTTGCCGCGAAGACTACGAGGATGTCTGGCGGGAGATTCAGATCATGCATCATCTCTCCGAACACCCAAACGTTGTTCGGATCAAGGGTACTTACGAAGACTCCGTCTTTGTTCACATTGTCATGGAGGTTTGCGAAGGTGGTGAGCTTTTCGATCGGATCGTTTCTAAAGGACATTTCAGCGAGCGTGAGGCTGCTAAGTTGATCAAGACCATTCTTGCTGTTGTTGAGGCTTGTCATTCTCTGGGTGTTATGCATAGAGATCTCAAGCCTGAGAATTTCTTGTTCGATAGCCCTAATGATGATGCTAAGCTCAAGGCCACGGATTTCGGTTTGTCCGTTTTCTACAAGCCAGGTTTGTTTGGATAGAATTTCCCAATTTCTTTCTCGGTTCTGAATCTTGATTTGATTGCTTCTTGATACACTTTCAAGAAATGTTCTTTTTTGGTTTGTTGATCTTGATTAGCTTATCTGCAAGGTCTCTTCGTTGAATGGTTCAAATTCATATTCTGCTGCTTGAGCATTGTTAAGGGAAAGATTGGTTTTTTTCTTTCAGAGAGATTTATTCTGAATCAGCAGGCTTTGACATTTTAGTTGTGATAGATGAATCCTTTAAAGCAAAAATCTTTCATCTATTCGAATGTGTGTTGATCGCAAGAATGTGACTAACAAAAAAACACTGTCATTGTGTTATTTTTGCTCTTCAGGGCAGTATCTGTATGATGTAGTCGGAAGTCCGTATTACGTTGCGCCCGAGGTTCTGAAGAAATGTTATGGACCAGAAATAGATGTGTGGAGCGCCGGTGTTATCCTTTACATCTTACTGAGTGGGGTTCCTCCTTTCTGGGCAGGTAACTTTATAGAAACGCCGAAACCTTTTGTTTTTACGTACATTGTTTATGTGGTTTATGCATCAATGTCTGATTTGCTTGCAGAGACCGAGTCAGGAATCTTTAGACAGATTTTGCAAGGGAAGATAGATTTTAAATCCGACCCGTGGCCTAGTATCTCAGAAGGTGCTAAAGATCTGATTTACAAAATGCTCGATAGGAGCCCCAAGAAACGGATTTCTGCACATGAAGCATTGTGTAAGTTATTTTCCCGGGGTTCAACGTAATGGTTGTTTACCTCTCCTGTGTGTATTTCGTTGTTAATCCCTGTCAAAGCTATAAGAGCTGCGTTTTCCTCTAATGATTATTAGGTCACCCGTGGATTATTGATGAACATGCTGCACCAGACAAGCCTCTTGATCCAGCAGTCTTGTCACGACTAAAGCAATTTTCGCAAATGAATAAAATTAAGAAAATGGCCTTAAGGGTTAGAAAAGTTATAGATTGTTTTTCCCTTTCTTTATCTCCAATCCCATTGCTTATTTCTAGATCTGACTTTTCGGTTAGGTAATCGCTGAGAGACTCTCGGAGGAAGAAATTGGTGGTCTGAAGGAATTGTTCAAAATGATAGACACAGACAACAGTGGAACAATCACCTTTGAGGAGCTTAAAGCAGGTCTGAAGAGAGTTGGATCTGAATTGATGGAATCAGAAATCAAGTCTCTTATGGATGCGGTATATTCCCAAAAACAAAAACTCTTTTAGAGTATTTCTTTCTCCATAGAAAATATGTTTGTGCTAGCTAGATACTATGAATGACAAACTTAAGCGGTGTTTGGCAGGCGGATATAGACAACAGTGGAACAATAGACTACGGTGAATTTCTAGCAGCGACGTTACACATGAACAAGATGGAGAGAGAGGAGAATTTGGTGGTTGCTTTTTCCTATTTTGATAAAGACGGGAGTGGTTATATCACCATTGACGAGCTTCAACAAGCCTGTACTGAGTTTGGTCTCTGTGACACTCCTCTTGATGATATGATCAAGGAGATTGATCTTGACAACGTAATGATCAGTTTCCTTTTGTCTTGTTTCTTAGTGAGTTTTAAGTAGTGAAAAACTGATGATGAAATGCGTGGAATGTTCAGGACGGGAGGATTGATTTCTCAGAGTTTACTGCGATGATGAAGAAAGGAGACGGAGTTGGGAGGAGCAGAACTATGAGGAACAACTTGAACTTCAATATAGCCGAGGCTTTTGGAGTTGATGACAGTAGTAGCAGCACTGCACAATCTGATGACTCACCAAACTAATTATAAATATCTGATATACATTTTGGAATTTTGAGAAATGAGAACCCACACAAGAAAAATAAAAAAACTGCAAAAGTAAAAATTCTCTTTTTTGTTTTCGTTTTTACTTTTGTAGATGAGCAACTTTCTCAATTTTGTTGTTATACTATGGATTATTTTGCTTCAAAATTTTCTGCCTGCGTTAAAATTAGGGTATTTGCACTCGCTATTGCTCTGGTATGACTCCATTGAGGTTGCTATTATGTGGTATGTTCTTGGGTTGCCTTCTGGTGCAGATTGTTCTGAACAAAAGTATTACTCATTAGAGTTACAAGTATCACAGGGTACGAAGAGTTTCCAGCTGCTGCCAATGTTGTTGAGAAATATAGCATTCTCGACACAAACGGTTCTTGAATGTAAGATGCATATCACCCTTTTCCCTAGAGAACCATTATTGAACAGAATAACTCTCGTGTTTTGGTCAAACAATCTCTTGAAGCATTTACATAAATCATGTCGATACATAAGCCTATCGGCTGCAGAGTCAGGACTCTGATTGAAGATTCAATATACAAAGCCAATTTTGGATTCAAGAGTCTGTAAACTAGTTTGACAAGCACTTACAACAAAGGTAATGGGAGACTGCAAAGACAGGATTTCGAATCCACGACAAAGTGGCAAACCAATCAAAGCCAAAGTTAGTGGTATTAAGCTCCCTGATGTTTCAGAGGCGATCTTCTTCTTTAGCTCGAGCTCATAAACACCCTAAAAATCCCGGCACGCAACAGAATAGTGCTGCTTATCAATATTTATATAAATATTTATGCTTTTCAATCTTCATTCATATACTCTCTTTCTCTTTAGGAGAGCAGGGAATATGGATATAGATCCAATGAGGAACAGCACTGACAAAGTCTTGAAATCATACAGATCCTTTACTGATCTTAGATCTCCGAGAGCCAGACCAGCCTGCATAAATGCAGTGAATGTATGACGTTGACCTGTTTAAATGTCACAGAACAACAAGAAGAGACTAAACTATAGACTCACTCTAACGGTGATGTACGAAGCTGGCATAAGGCCAACTAGAGTCGCCGAAAAGAAGACGTGGAAGGGTATGTCAACGATTGGAGAAGACAAATTGATGAAGAGGTTTGGAAGTGTCGGTGTGATCCTTAAGAACAGCATGTAGTTTAGCAGCCTATCTCTTCTTTTCGCAATCTGACCCAAAAGCATTGCAAATCTCAAAGGCATTAATCCTTATGACAAGAGACGTGTTTATTCATATGGTAAACAAACACAAAGAGAACTTATTACCTCTGCTTGGAAAAACCTCAACTTTTCAGGCCATAACCAGGAAACCAGAGGCCTTCCGACCAATTTCGATAAGAAGAAACAAGAACACGCTCCAGCTGTTGCATTGAGGACAACAAGGACAAAACCTCTAACCACACCGAAAAGAGCTCCAGCAAGCAGTGACATAAAGATTGTTCCAGGTATCATGAAGGTTTGCATGAAGATATATGTCGAACAGTAACCTAAAATGAATCTTGCTGGGTAATCACTTGCATAAGAACCAAGATTATCTCTGCATATGTTCAGATCATAGTAAGTCCAAGCACATCAACAAACCCAGATTAGAAATGCTATTGACAAAATCATGTCTTTTGCCCTCTAAACCAAGTTTTGGGTATTGTGGTAAAGATCAGAACTTTCAATTTAGGGGTTTAAAACTAGGATCCAGATTTAAGAGACCGACAACAAAAGTTAAACCTTTTCACCATATAAAAAAAAAATGAGGAAGAAGAAGAAGCAAATCTGACTTGAGCAATCGGAGATCGGAGATAGTTCTGGGAAGTTTGAGCTTGCCGTATTCAGCGGCAGGCATGGTGAGGTAAACAGATAAAAGTCCGGTGGCGAAAACGAGGAAGACGGTGAAAAACACGACGAACTCCCACCGTGAAAGAGGAAATCGCTCCGATTTGGTGCGTTTACCCGTCGGAGAGTCATCGTTACCTTTAGCTGCCGAAGCAGCGGAGGCGGCGTTCTCTTCGTCTTTCACGAGCTGCCTTCCTCCGCCACCGTCACTGGTCAGATTCCGAGGTGCCGCCATTGCTGATAGCTCCGGAAGAAAACCCAGTTCCGAAGAAATTGTTGAATTTCCAGTTTTCCAAGAACAAAATGTATTAAAGCTTCCTTTTAGTACTATTTTCTTACATTTATATATATATTTGTTGGAAATGTGTTGTTTCAGACTCAGACGCAAAAAAGACTCGAAAAATTAAATATATTTGTAATTAAATTGCATCAGAGAGACCAGAGTATATGCCT